TCGTCGTCGTTCGTGGCAGGTGTTTCGACGTGTTCATTCGTGTTGACTTCGGCGCGCATAGAATTAACCTTACGGGGAGGTTTCTTTCGATTTGCGCGTGCGATAACTTCCTGCTGTACGTTCTGAAGGTTCTGATTCATTGCTGGGTGTGATATTGTACAGAGGTGGTATGGTGTTGGACGCGTTGATGTGAGTTAGGATGAAAATCAGGGTTAGGAGACTGCTTAGTAAGCACTTCTGCTAGGTGGGCTCTCTATAGGATACTCTATCTACGCTCCGCAAATAGGAATCAATCAAACCAATCAAATCAATCAATTTGATGCCTTGAAGTTGATTTGATTGATAAAATCCACCTCTTCGGATTGATTGATTGATTTGGTTGAACCAAATCAAATCAATCAATCTATCAACTTAAGTTGATTGTTCCCCACTCTGGTTGGGAGCTACAGTGACATGGCTTGATGTCCTCTACCTTCTGCTTGAGTTCGGCGAATTCAGACGCGCTGATCTGACTGATATCGGCTGGGCTAGCGTTTTCTAAGACAGTCGGGGTCTCGCCGTTGCATGACTTAAAGTTCTCAAACTTCTCCTTGAGTTCCTCGAATTCCGACACGCTGACTTGACTATTGTCGGCAGAGAGAGTGTTTTCCAAGGTCGTTGGCGTCTTGCAATTACATGACTTGAGGTTCTCGAGCTTTTCCTTAAACTCCTTCCTGAGCTCATTCAACTCGGATTTGCCGACGAAATTGCTGGTCTCCAGGACAGTGACAGTCTTTTCAGAGGTCGTCTTGGTTGGTTCGCGTCTGCCTGAATCGACCTCTTGGACCTTCTTCTCTAGCTTGGTGATACGCAAGTCGAAGTCTTGGGGATTGACGGCGGATGTCTTTGAGTCTTTGTGATCCTCCATGGCTTCTGCGATCTCTCGTTGAAGCTCATCGGTCGTCTGACCGACTTCCAGCGACTGTTGGGCTTGTGTGGTTCCCGCGGCCGCATTCAGCCTGCCAAAGAGCTCGGTGGCTTGCTCCTCGGTCAAGTACTTCTCAGATCCGGCCTCATTCGAGACGTCATCTCCCGTGTCCGTATGATTCGAAGTTGCTTGGACTCCACCGTGTTGCGTAAGTGCGTCCAACCTTGCCTCCAAGGCCTGTCGTGCTTTGCGTTCCTTCTCAAGATCTATCCAGAGCTGGTTGGTATGGGTCATGGGATGCTCAATCCCTTGGGCATCGTCCATAAAGTCATCCTCGAGAGCGTTTATCCTCCTTTTCAACTCATCCCCAAAGGTCTCTGCCTTAGCCACGGCAGGCTGTACTACTCTGTGGGCCCTACGGTCGATCCTGCGATAGACAATCCGGCGCAATTCTCGAAGCTCCCTGCGTTTCGCGGCGCCGTAATGTTTCGCGGGCGTGTTATCATCGCCGTCTTCGTCGTTGCTTTTATCATCGTCGCCCGGGTCGCTAAACAGATCTCGAATGGCCCGATATGTCCATCCGTCTCTCTTCCTCTCGATATCAGCACCCAGCTGCTCAATCTGTGCGGTGAGCCTGTCGTCCACCTCCTGCATCCTGACATTCCGATTATACCAGGCCCCTGCGAACGCTCCGAGGAGGATGACTATGAAGAAGATAATCCAAATGCCAGCATCAGAGAGTCTGGACAGAGTTGCCAGCCGGCTCTCAGTAGCCAACCACCGGCCCTCCATCTCAAGCGTGATATTCCGGACCGCATCGGTCTGCAGCCGATTTAAATTCTCTTGTATGAGGTAGTTATTCCGGTTGATCTCGCCCCACTGCTCCTCGATCGGTTGCGACAAGTTCAGCTTCTGCTCGGTATAGTTCTTCATCTGTTCCGTAACGAAGTCGAACTGCGCTTTGACTTTGTCCGACATCGACTCCGTCTCGTTCTTGTAGCTCTCCGTTAAGTTCATGTACGCGATCGTCCGCTTCTCTTGCCCGCCGACGGACCAGTAGTCCTTGATGGGGAACTGGTATACGCCGAGTGAAGCGAGCAAAGCGAGAGCGGCTGTACGTGCGGCATGTAATGCGCCTTGGGGGTCGTAGAGGTAGGCGCCCCATACGCCCGCAAGGGTGTTCATGTTGAAGACGCGTCCGTTTTGAGCCATAGTGGGCGATGAATGTGTCGAGATACCGGTAGCGGTGTGTGGAGAAAGACGTGTCTGTGAGAGCTCGCTGTCGGTAAGCGAGAAAAGGCGAGAAAAGTTTTGCGTGCCCTTAGTGCGGACTAGCGTGCCGTAGGAAGGTGAATGAAGGCTGTCAGGGGATATGGCTCTCCACCCGTCGTTGAAAAGTGTAGGTATCGGGTCGTTTCGTGAACTCGATAATGGGTATAGACGTGTCTATAAAGAGAAAATACCGCCGTCAAATACCGCCGTCAATTAGATAGTGAAGGTTTGAATACCTGGCGGAGGTCGCTGTAACGTAAGTTGTCTCGTTGGCGGGCTTCGGGCCGTCGATTACCGCGCAGTCTGAATCTACACGCGATTTAAGTTCGGAATCTTATTAAGGCATCTACAGTATGCCAGTGACCGCAAGTCGTTCGTATAATCTTTCATGTAGTGTTGAAGTCTGCCTTAGCGTAGTATATAAAAACTCGATTGTTGCATTCTCTTTGATGGCGGACAAAGAAAGTATTTGAATGCTGGTTGGAGAGACGAGACAGAAACCTTTGTGTGCCTTGTCAATTCTACTTCGGCGCTTCTTTGTTGCTTTGTTCGCTGATTATCACTCTCAGTGAGTAGAGTCTGGCTCATGCCTACAACGGCGACTGTCGCATCAAACCTCGATGTTGAAGGTACGGCTTGAATAGGGGCAGCGAGTTAATGTAGCTAGAATGCAACTCAAGTACATATATCTATACCCAACCACGGCCCTCGAAATATTGATTTATAGAAGGGCTTGACAAAAGAGCTCATCACGTGATCATTCATATTACCTCCTTGGTGTTACAGCACTCCGAGTTGATGTCAATTGATTCCGTTCAGGTCAAATACACTGTTGGAAGTATATAATGTCGCTTATTTTCCGGTCCCCCTAATCTTAGGCGGGGTGTGCTTTTTCATCCAACGCTGACGCTCAGGAAGAGAGCGTCTGTAAAAGTGGTCTACTCGACAGTACCTAGGTAGTAAACCGCCAGGAGACAAAAGGGGCACGATCCAGATTTGCTATTAATGCTGTAAGATCTTGATGAATAGCCACTCTGTTGAGCAGTTCAGCGAGCTGATGGGGATAGAGTTGATGTCCGAATGGTTGGTGTGGAGAGAAGGGGTCTTCTTATCGATTGGCGGAAGGCTTCACGCACATCACGTGCTATGACGCTCAGAGCCTATATGACATATCATCGTACGTGGAGACAACATCCTATTCTTCAAAGGGCTTGAAGTTATTCAGAGCTTTGATAGGCAGTATCGACTTCGTTGTACCGTGGACTTAAATAGCAGTCACGTGACTCATGCGATTCGCCTCGACGACCCCTTTTCCGAAGCATGATCGAAATGACTAATCTCACCACCAATTTCTGCCTTCTCGTCTACTTACTACATAACTGCAGAGACACCGGACGCCTCTGCCGACCCAACCCAAATCGCAATCTACTCATTTCGCAGGTATCGAGACACAAGCTTTAAATACGAAAGTAAGGGAATGATGTTGGTATCGCAATCTGGTTTCTCATTTCGATTGAATCACTCGATATTTGGCTATTTAGAACAGAAGCTTCTCATTCCTCCGGCCCAGCCAATCCCAAAGCCTGCCGTCTGCTCTTCGCCTTTGCATCGTAATACGGCTTCTCCGCGAGCGAAGTAACTCTCGTTCCATGTCTCGGCTCCTTTCCTTCGTAGTCCCAGCTGGCATTATGTATGGTGATCCTGCTCTCAATCAGTATCTATTTCTCGAAATGGCGCGATTCAGGTAATATCAGGTTGACTTACCTATTGTCCCAGAGCGCGGACGTCCTCGGAGTCCACTTGAATCGCACCTGAATGTCCACATTCTGTTCGTAGACATCATACAAATAGCCCAAGATGAGATCGCTCTCAGCCTTGTCGAGGCCGACGATTCTCACCGTCATGATGCGGTTGACCCAGAGCGCTTTCCAGCCGGTGGCAGGGTGCACACGAACAAGGGGATGAGTTCGCTCAATGAACTTCGGGCCTGCTGTGGGATCGTTGCGGTCGAGATACGGATGCGCACTGCGATACACTGCCTCCCTGCCATCGATGATCTTTCGGAACTCGGGCGAGAGCTTGTCATAAGCGGAGTAACCTATCACACAGGTATTAGAACTTCCCCTTTCTCAAGATTAACGATTCTTGGAAACTAAACATACCGGACGCCCACAGCGTATCCCCTCCAAGGCTCGGGATCGTATCATTATGCAGATGTGTCACACCTGCGGGCTGCCTCTCATGCACAAGATCCGTGTGCCATCGACTCGCGCCTCCCGGGTTCCTATAGCTCGCCGGGAACTCCTGCGCCTGGAGTGCTGGCCAGAGCACCGTGACACCTGGAAGTCCTGGAACCGTAGGGACCTGCGGATGCACTTCAATCTCCCCATAATACTCGCCCAGCTTCTTCTGGTCCTGCGGCGAGAGGTCCTGGTCACGGAAGAAAACAACACTCCGCTCCGCAATCAGAAGTCCTAACTCATCTTTCTGCTGGTCCGTGAGGTCTTTGAGTTGCAGTCCCACGATCTCAGTGCCGATGTGGACGGTGAGGTCCTTCACTTCCTTAGCAGCAGAGAAGAGAGCCTTCTTCTCTGGGTCAGCGCGAGAACCAGGGTCCGTGAAGGGGCGGTCGTAGTCACGGATCTTGTAGACATCGTCGATGTATAGCGGTTTGGCCGGGCGGTAGGGGTATCCATTTGAGAGGTCGATGCCCGCCTTCTCGAGACGAGCACGCGCAGCTTCGGGGAGGCCGAGGTTGTCTTTCTTTGGTTGGACGGTGTCGGCCTCTTTGATTGAGGGGATGCTGGGAATGGCGATGGGGGCCATTTTGAGATGTGAATGTATGGATTTGATCTGAAGGGTAGGGAAAGTTAAGTCTGAATGATATTTCTTACACGACTCCTTTCGATCTCTTATACCCCGCAATGGTTCTATCCCAAGGGTCTGGCCGTTGTAATCGCGAGCGCGTCGTTGTCCACTAGCGCGCGCAGCTGCGTGGTGTTGCGGGGTGCGGATCTGCAACAAGCACGACATTCCTCAATCCGATTGCGCTCCCCCTCCGTGTCGCACCACTATCTCCATTTCGCGCGCGGATTGGAAATACAGACGCTTCTTATCAGTTGGGAATCCTCCATTTCGCCACGGGATGCCTGTTCTGGATGTCGCTGCGCTCCTTGATGGAAGCTCGGCATCGTTGATACAGCGAATCTTCATGAATTGCCTTCCGGGGGCTTCATGATGCAATGAGCCTTCCCTGCAACCGTTAGAATGCCTCGGTAGTGAGCTGGGCCGTGGTATGATAATATCCAGGGCAGTGGTCGAGGTACTGTACAATCGCGGTATGCAAATTTTGGGTCCATCTGACGCGTTCAAGCTAATAGCTCGTAGCGACAGCCTTATCGACTACCTGTCGTACTTGAGCGTCTGCGAAGCTTTAGATACATAGTCCACATTGACCAAGAGTGTAGCCATCATCCTATAGCTCGATGTCGATATCCACCGTTAAACGCGTTGCGGTGATTGGCGCCGGGATCAGTGGAGTGGTAACAGCTGCGCATCTGAAGAACGAAGGGCTAGAAGTCGTTGTGTTTGAAAGATCGGCGCACGCTGGCGGCGTATGGTGAGATTTGCGACTGTTCCGAACTCTTGGGAAGCTGCTAAATGAAGAGTAGGATATATGACCCGAGGCAACCACTAGAGCCAAAATATCCAGCGGATAGACCTCTAAACCGCCATTCCATTGACGCCGAGGGCAGCGGGTCTGAGAACAGTGGCTCCGATCACGATGGTTCGGAAAGCGAGTACCAGTCTGACGACGAACATCGTCTGCTCCAACATGCACCACCTGGGTAAGTCTGGCGCAGACTCTAAAGCAGTTGGTACACATACTAAATTAAGGGGCCTAGTAAAGCCCTTGCTATGAGGGGCTAACCAACAATGTCTCTACGCCGTTATTGGAGACGACTCTCACACCATTCCCCCCAGGCACTCCTGACTACGTGAATCACAAGGTCTTAGGCGATTACATCCAAGACGTTGCCAGACAAAACGAAGTCGAAAGTCTCATCAAATTCAACACGGAAGTCCGAAATATTAAAGAAAGCAATGGGAAGTGGCTGGTTGAAATAAGCACACTGCAGAAAGCTCAAGCAGGGACGGGCATTGCGTTAGAAAAAACGGTCACGGTAAGTGTTTAGAAGGATACCGTAATTTATTCTGACAGTAGATACAGGAATTTGACAGCGTCGTGGTTGCATCTGGCCATTATCATACTCCTCGGGTGCCTGATACTCCGGGTCTTGCTGAGTGGAAACGTCGCTGGCCAGATCGCATCGAGCATTCGAAAAGATATCGAAAACCAGAAGACTTCAAAGATAAGGTAGGCTGACTAAATTCCCGAGTTCTTCGCTAGTCTTCGGCTGACTAAATTCCCGAGTTCTTCGCTAGTCTTCGGCTGACTCCGTGACATAGAACGTCCTTCTGGTAGGCGCAGGGGTCTCTTCCACGGATATCGCCCGAGAGATAGGGCCCATTGCGAAATCGATTTACCAGGTTCATCGAAACGGAAAGTTTGACCTTCCAGGAAGCATGCTCCCTGAGAATGGCGTCCGTGTCAGCGAGATAGAGTCTTTCACCCTTCCGGAGGGCGATTCGTCGATTAGCCTTGCGCCACATGAACCCATTCCAGGGACCGTTACGCTCAAAGACGGCACCAAGCTTTCCGATATCCACAGGGTCATTTTATGTACTGGGTACCATGTCGCCTTACCTTTCCTCGCCCACCTGCATGCAAACATCGACCCTGAACGCGCAAACGATCACACGCTGGTAACTGACGGAACGCAATACCACAATCTTCACAAAGACATCTTCTACATCCCTCGGCCAACTCTAGCTTTCATCGGGGTGCCTTACTTCACAGCTACCTTCACGCTCTTCGAATTCCAGGCCATGGTTCTTGCGCAGGTTCTGAGCGGAAAAGCATCCCTTCCCACCGAGAGCGAGATGAAAGAGGAGTATAGGAAACGTGTGGAAGAGAAGGGGTACGGGAAGCCGTTCCACAGTTTGAAAGACCATGAGGTGGATTATGTGGATGAGTTGCTGGCTTGGGTCAATCCACAGCTGGAGAAAAAAGGGTTAAAGCCTTTGGTAGGACATTCAGAAACTTGGAAGGCTGCGAGGAAAGAGCTGGTGTTGAGAATGCAGAAGCTCTTTAGTGGAGGTCCGGGGAAAACAGATGCGCCTGGAAACCTTGTTTCTACGCGTCAATAGCGAGACCACCAGAATCCTACGGCCTGGTCCAATCAAACAATAATACTGCTACTCGTACATCCTTTCCGCGGAACCCTTGGTGGTACGACCGTTGTGATGGAGCTCTTAGCATGGCTCGCAATGACCCGATGAACACGTGCCGTCCCGCCCTAGCGTGAATTGAGGGGCTACCCGTTATCGCGATTAGCAAGCAAGCCCTGGGTACTCCTTATAGCAGCTACAAACTCGTTGGCTGTGAAGATCGGCCATTTTCACGGGTAGTCCCACACCAAAGTGATGTTCAGGCACGTCATCCCCACGCTCAATCACGAATCCACCATGGGTCTTCGTTTCCACGGACTCAATTTGCACCATGTTCCACTACTTTGGAGCTTCCTTCGCAATCTATTCCCCAAACGTTGGCCCCGCTATCTAGCCATATCTCTCCTCGATCACCGAATATCCCCCGCATTTCATGCCACTCGTCCCACCCACCATCACGCAATCTACAGTAGCTCCAACATGAGATCCTGGGGTATCTCGCGGTTCAAGCGCGGTCCTCCTATTCGCCCCTCTTAGCCCTCGAGATACCCTCGTGAGAGTAAGACATCATACCGTATGCACACCAGGATCTTCCCCCCTCTCGAGTAAGTTCCGAGATGCTAGAATAGCACGCAAGCCCAGGATCAGCATTGTCAATTCCCCTTTGGGTGGCGTGGTTCTTGGGACTCGGGCCCTTTAATAGGTGGTTCCTCGAACACTCCTGGCGCCTCTTTTCCCTCCAGGGCGCCGAAGAAGTTCGAGGCCTAGACAAGCTTTCTATTCCCTATCTGCGGTTGCCTGTTGCGTCTTCGTTTGGCTGGCGCCATAACGCCTAAAGTGTCGCCTACCATTACCATGGGAGTACCGAGTATTGCAGAAGTGGAATCGAGCGGGAGCAATACTTCGTCGGTAACATCTGAGCGAGACCACCTTACACGGCATGCGGACGAGGTGCGGGAGGAGAAACCGAAGAAGTGGACGCACTATGTGTGGGACACTCTTGATAAGCCGAAAGAGGAAAGATGGTTTATGTTTAAGCTTGATGCGGCGATTTTGACGTTTGCTAGTCTTGGTATGACAGCCTCATCCTCAATCCTTCTGATATACTCCTCTTGGGACTGACGAGCTACAGGATATTTCATCAAATACCTGGATCAGATCAATATCAACAGTGCTTTCGTTTCGGGCATGTATGTTCCACGTCAACAAAATGGTCGAGTCCTACCGTCGCCATGCTAACGCCCAACACAGGAAAGAAGACCTCGGTCTATATGGAAACCAACTGAATTATATGCAAACGTGTTGGACTGTCGGCTACGTCATCGGAGAGATTCCAAGCAACATCATCCTCACCAAGTTCCGTCCTTCGTTATGGATCCCGACCATGGAGGTAATCTGGGCCGTGCTCACTTTCTCTTTGTCTCGCGCAGAATCAGCAAGGACTATTTACATTCTCCGCTTTTTCGTTGGCTTGGCTGAGAGTACGTTTTATCCTGGAATGCAGTATATAATCGGCTCGTGGTATCGTAAAGACGAACTGGCGAAGCGCTCCTGTATCTTCCATACGAGTTCTGCGATTGGAAGCATGTTTTCGGGGTATTTGATGGCCGCGGTGTACAATCTTGACGGGAGGGGTGGGTTTAAGGGGTGGCAATGGTGGGTTTTATGCAAACAAGCCTTCTTTAGAAGATTCGCAGACCATAGCTGACGTTTCTAGGCTCTTCATTGTCGATGGAATCATCTCTCTGCCCGTCGCGATCGCAGGATACTTTGTTCTACCGGATGTGCCAGAGATATCAAGACCGTGGTATTTGACCAAGCAGGTAAGCAATCACGCTTTATCAGCAACTACATCGTTAAATAGTTCTAATGAGTTCATAGGAAGTCGCACTCGCAGTAAAACGAATGGACCTCGAAGGACGCGCAAAGCGCCAACCATATACGAAAGCTAAGCTTCGGAAAATATTCACTTTGTGGCATATCTACGCCCTCGTGCTGCTCTACATGTAAGCCCCTAGCAGTACCTTTTCTCATCATCTGTACTCACTTGCAATGATGGCAGCTTCTTCAACAACGGCGGCGCCGGCGCAGCCCCCGTCTTCGCCCAATTTCTAAAAGCATCCAAGCACCCAAAGTACACTGTCGCCCAGATCAACGTCTATCCCACTACTACAAACGCGGTGCAAATTGTTTCGACATTGATATATGCCTGGAGCTCTGACTCGTTCCTCAAAGGCGCTCGCTGGCCTCCGATCGTTTTCGGTGGTGTACGTACTCCCACTCATGCCCGTGATATTTCAGAACAATACTAATAAAGTTGAAATGACTAGTGTGTGAATATCATGTGCTACGTGTCTCTCGCCATCTGGGACATCCCGCTGAACTGGAAGTGGGCCTGCTTCATCCTCTTTGGCTGCGGCGGCGGGCTTTCAGGACTATGCATGTCCTGGGCGCACGAGATCTGCGCCGACGACAACGAAGAGCGCGCCATCGTTGTGGGCTCCATGAATGAGTTCGCGTACGTGTTGCAGGCTTGGCTGCCCTTGATCGTGTGGCAGCAGGTCGATGCGCCGGAGTATCGGAAGGGGTATATCACGATTACGTGTCTCAGTGTCTCGTTGATTATAACGACGTTTGTGATTAAGTTTCTGTGGAAGAGGGAGCAGCATCAGAAGCAGTTGGCGGCAAGGAGATCTTATGAGAGTGAAAGTGGGGATGAGGCTGGAGGTGGTGTTATTGGGGCTACGGGCTTCGATGGGAAGGGGGTGGTTGCGTGAGAAGATGTACGAATATCTGACATATACGGACAATGGACATCGTGGACCTTAAAGTAACCTCTCTGACTCTTGAGCTACTAGGCCTCTCGGAGTAGGCTTGCTGGTGTTCCAATTCACTGATACAAGGATCCTTTCACGTGACCTTGGAGCTCTTATCCATAAATCATGATATAAGAGAAATTAACATTTATAGCGAATAGGAAGCTCTCCGAATATAGCAATGATTGCAGTATAAATTGCGTTTTTTACCAGAGTACTTACCAGTCCGAAGGCAGCGAGTTATCACGTGATGTGTGGCACTGGAATGTAAGTTTAAATCAACGTCGACGGTATTTCAGATACTCGAAGATAAACCAGATACTCCAGACTGACTGCAAAGTATCAGCCTTTAACCTTCTAATCTTTCATTGAAGGTTCAGGCTCATCACATGACAGGATCCTCAGACTTCTCAAATACACTAATGGATACATCGTTGCGTTCTTGAACTATGTTGAAGCTCTAGGTGACAACTCTCTCATTATTCTACTATTGATTCATGCATCTGCTCAAAGGTCACCTGACGTTCTCGGTCGCGCGGTATCCCGCCTTGAAATCGGCCCGACCTGAGCTGAAGACCGTCCTGCCGTCCTGCTGTAACGACTTCGTCCCGTCCCTCATCATGCGTGTCATCATTTAGGACGGGTGCCTATACTGACTGTGATCCTTCGCGCCTGACGTGTCATCTTACATGTCTGTCACGACCAATTGAGCAGACTGGAGCTATTTTTGGCGGTTTCTAGCTGCTGAAGCCGAAGGTGAGATCAGGAACGTATATAAACGCATTGCCCATTAACTCTAGCTACATTCACTCTGCACAATCTTTCTAGTTAGGCCGATTTAGCTTCCATCAATACTAACGACATGTCTTCTTCAAACGAGGTAGCAACCAATTCAACCTCTACGCATAGAATACCGAAGACTAACGTATCATCCAGGTAGCGTCTCTCGCCTCAAGCAACTCAAAGACATTGGGAGCCTCCTTCCCCGTCATCACCCTACCGTCGGGCATCAAGGTGCCAACAGGAACTGTCGGTGCTCTGCTGTAGAATGTACGCCGCTACGACGAACTCGCCGCAGACAGCAACAAGACAAAAGAGGACGAAGAAGAGCTGAAAGGCTTAGCTGAGCAAATGAAGGCCGCGCTCCCGGTACTTAAGAAGGTTGGGATGTTCGACTTGTTCACTCCTGACGAGTGGGTGCAAGGCAAAAGTCCCGGGAGAAAGTTGGTTGGGGAAGAGGCTAAGAAGTTGGAACTCTAGGCAGTCTTCAGCATCAGGGTTCACACGACTAGGTGATAGGTGTTTCGAGTCCAGAGGAGCATGCTCAACACTAGTATGATGACGTTATTTCGTACAAGCTCATCAATCTACTCACCATATCTCGATTGATGTTAGCTATGGCGATTATTTCATTGGGAAAGAGACCTTTGTGTAATTGCGAAACTCAAGTTCCATGATTTTCTTTGGATTTCTCGCCTTGAACCTCGGCTCCATTATATGAGTGCAAACGTCTCAGGAGAATATTGTCCCACTGCCTCGCCTTCCATCAACCCATGAACGTAGCACTCGCCAACTAGCATCCACGACTCGCTTTCAGTGTTTCTCACTAGGAATGGCATCTCGGCTCCCAAAATCACGACTACTAAGTCGCCCTGTCTCGCGCCCGGTGGCACCATCGCCATCTTCCCACCATCAGTCACTGCGAAGCGCCTCCCATAGGCGCAAGCTGCCTCGGCAGCACCGTATTCACTCGATAGTTTCAGATCTTCCAGAAGCGAGGCTGCAATATCGGGGTCTAGTTGATGCTTGCTTGGATCCAAGCCTTTAGAGCGAGATTCGAAACCAAGGAGTCGTTTCGTTGCTTGGTCTCCGTTCGCAAGAGACATTGGAGCTGGGTATTCAAGACTGTCATGCGTCGTCATCGGATGAACGCAATTCCCAATCAGTGTCCGCCATGTGGCCTCTCGACGACTCTGAGTGCTGGTACCCACAGGGTATCTCTCGTCACAGCGACGTGCTAAGAGCTCTACATCCTCCTGGAATGGCCCGCGTTGTTCGGCAAAGGACTCGGAAGCATCTTTCTCGTCCTGTTTTCGGCGGACAAAGTGTTTGGACACCGTGGCGATGTTGTCGATTGCAAGCGCTCGTACCGACAACGTATTCGACGACGTGTCAATCGATACCTTCTGTTTCGTTCTACCGGACGCTTTGTAAAACCTCTTATTCGTCATCTTCTGCAACAGCGACGTCTTCGGCAGACAGCTATAATCCGGCACCCAAGACGGTAGCCCTTGGACCTCCCATTCATGTCCAATGCCCGCAAAGCCCAACGCCGACAGCCTCTCATCCTGCTCCAGCGACAACCTCGTCGTATGCGCAAACACCTCCGCCGGCGTCCGCCCAGAATCCTCAAACAGCCTCGCATCCCCCTTATCCGCACTCACCGCCACAAGACTGAACACATGATCTTGCTTCTCCGTCGCGCCGAACGCCCCCATCTCGCTAAGCAAGTGCACAAGACTCACTTCCCGCCCCTCCTGCACCTCCTCCCTAAACCGATCGAGCGTGCTCACCTGGGCCCACCCAATCCCGCGCCCGCCATCAAAGACGACCATCGCCTGCGCCAGATTCCTCCTCGCCGGATCCCCAATCACTGCACACACGGCCGCCAGCATATCCCACTCGACCCACGCATTCCCATACCTTACATCCACGCGCCGCGCCACCGCCACCTCCTGGATCATCCACACGCGGAACCAGTACGCCTGCGCCAGCATGTCCCTTAGCGCGGCCGCCTCGCGATCCCGCGCAGCGCCGCTGTTGGCCTCGACCAAGCTCGCGAGCCGGGCCTCGCGGGGGCGCGCCGGCGCGCTCGCGTTCGCGACGAACATGCGCTTGACCAAGCTGTCGGCGCGCTTGCCGTCGTGCGCGTCGCCCACCCACGCCACCGTGCGCCGTGCGGCGCTGTAGATGGCGCGCATGAGCGGGAGCTGCACGGCTTTCTCGCGCGCGTCGCGCTGCGCGATGCACAGGAAGTCGATCCAGACGACGCGCGGCTCGCGGACCGAGGCGCGGTCGGCGAGGGCTTTAAAGCAGTTGGCGGGGACGGGGAGGCGCGTTGGCGTTGGCAGCGGCGGCGGCTGCGCGCCGCGGGGGGAGGACGAGGGCGAGTGCAGCAGGATGGTGTGCGTGCGGGTGGAGGAGCCCCAGTGGTAGGAGAGGGCGTCGTAGGCGGGCGTGCGCGGGTCGCCGAGCGTGTGGGTTTCGAGCGTGCAGTGGAGGGTGCGGGAGCGGCGGGGGTGGATGCGGAGGAGGCGGATGGAGCGAGGGGTTGGGAGGGGCGTGTAGGTGTATGGTGGGTAGTGGCTGTGATCACGTGTGCCGCCGGAGAGGATGAAGGGTGCCCAGAACCGACGGTAAAGGATTGAGAGGTCGATTTGGACGTATGTGAACGCGTTTATCAGCGCGCTGGGGCCGTGGAAAATCGTGAGGAGGGGGAGGTTGGGGATTAGGACCGCAATGAGGATGGCGGCGGTAATGATGGCCTGGTGGGCGCGGGCGAGGTAGATCCAAAGAATGACCAGGCTGCCAGAGAGTAGGAGCGCGTACAGCTCTACCTTGAGTAAGGATTTAAGAATCGGAAATGAAACAAAATGCAGCAGAACTCTAGTAATCAGATACTTGCACACTTCGCCCGCATCTCCCCACATCTTCCCTAGTAGTCCTATGCATGGGGCGTCGGTATTGATCCATTCTAATATACTCAGGCACAACTGCCGTGTTTCTGATAGTTGAAAAAGGAGCAATAGAGAGCCTAGGGGGTGGAGGATGAAAATTTGACAGTGACTGGGGAGATAAAACCAGGCTTTGGAGACGAGTGGGCTTCGGAGGACGGCATGGAAGGCGGCTATGCTCATCATGCGAGCAGAATGGATGAAGTGCTGTTTTAGGTTTTCGAGGTTTTCGAGGCCGGGGGTTTCGAGGCCGGGGTTTCGAAAGGCAGTGGTGGGGGGTAGGGTGGACATTGCGGATCGGGGCGGAGTGGGAGAAGGGGGTAAGAAAAGACGAATACCAAAACTTTCTAATAGACAATGAGGTTTACGTTTGGAGTTGGCAAAAGTATGTTTGAAGGCGTTGATGGGTATCGGACGAAGGATGAAGAGTAGATGGCTGTGCTAGTGAGGCTGTGCAAGATCCGCTTTGTGGCGCTGCCTAGGATTGCCAGGCTGCCAGGTACCTACCGGTATTCTAACGCCAATTCATCACAGCTCTTTTCCTTCCACATCAACAACCATCTACTATATTGCCTTTTGCACGAAGCTTTGCCACGTCGTAGTCCTGGTAGTAAAACTTCGAAAGCGCCTCGCACAGATGCTGTTTGCTGGCCTCGAAGTCTCGGCCGGCTCTTAAATCCCCGCAGGCGGCTTGCGCCGAATTTAGAGACTGGGAGTTCAGCTTTCCAAAGACGGCGAACACAGGCTAACGCGCAGCCAAAATGGCACAAGCTCTCATTTAAGAGCAGTCCAGGCTCCCGGTTCAGCTTGTGATGAACTTTGCAGATTCAAGTATAAAACCTTTAGGATAAAATGCAGCCCCTGAAGCCGGAATAAGCTTCGTTCGCAGATTTCAATCGAGCACCTCAAACCCAACTTTACATCAAGATTAGAATCAATATCCCGCCATCAACAATGGATTCTCCAGAAAGCATCGCATTTTGGGGCACGCTAGTAGCCCCGGGCTCTGTCCAAGCTCCAGCCTTCTGCCGTCTCTACATCTGTATGTCAAGCCAGCATCCATCTCTCTCATACATCTGACCGCATAGCCATTTTTGACCACCTCCGGAGCACATCCGCAATCCCAATTGCGCAGATGAAACCCAACGGCGCACGACCCTATCTCAACGCCGAGATGATGGGCAACCTCTGCACCCTCATGGACATCATCGACCTGCACATCTCGCCCGCCGAGGCGCAGGAGATGACGCTGGAGACCATGAACAAGTTGTATTATGTGTACTTCAAGCTGTTCTGCGCCGGCCAGGAGCCATACACGTACCCGCGCGACGGGCCGGATGGCAATGCTCCGCTGATTACGCGCGAGGGCCTGCGCATGTGGCTTCTTGTTCGGATTATCATGGACCCGGTTTGTTTTATCTGATTGCAAGTTGCTTTTGCGTGGCGAATTGTGCTTATCAACTCTAGGACGATGCGCACCGGAGACTTAATGCGCTGCTGGCGAAGAAGGATCATCTCTTTATTGACCCGTTTACGGAGGAAGAGTTTGCGTATCCGCAGATTCCACGGTGCGCGTTTCCGGAAAAGCCGGTTGAGGAACTCGCAGCAACATTTCGACAGATTCAGCCAAGGTGGCGGGAAGAAAGGGCGAGGATCATGAGCGCGGCGCGGAAGGGGAGAGCAGCTGCGTCACAGTCAAGCTTGACGAGCGCGCAGAATAGTTTGGCTGCTGCGGATTTGAATGCTGCGAGAATGAGGGCGCAGGCGATTGCAAATGCGCAGGAAGAGCGGCGTGTGTACACTTCAAGTTCTGGGAATTTTAAGTATAGTTGTACTCCTGGGAATTTCTGAGGAGCTGTGCTTCTGGGTCAGACAAAGTTGGGAATTGATATTATAGTGGTAGGATAATGACTGCGTTCAATACAATAATTACCCGTCGCCAAATCCCACAGTCGGAGTGAAGTGTCTTGACGGAAGCACCACCTTTTGTACAACTGATAAACTCCTGAAGCCGCCCCAAACAAATGCAGAGAAGTGTGATCTGCCAACTTGGATATCCGAGAATATGATGAGACACCACCAGCGGTCGTAGACCAGTGTGCGGATATCTATGACCACGCATTGTACTACATCCCAGGAGGCAAACCCCTTGGCCCGATCTCGATCCGCTTCTTGATCGACGCATGATCCTCTCCAGACTTCAGCCTCCTGATCAACTCCTCCGGATCAAAGTCCGTCCCGATAGGATTTTCCGCGAACTCTTTCGACGCCATGAACTTATCCGCGTCTGCGATGCTGTCAAAATTATCCACCTGCGTCTCGATCTGGTTGCCATCTGGGTCTTTGTAGTAGATGCTTGTCGTCGGTCCATGATTCACACTCCATACGGGCTCAATCCCGTGCTCTTTCCTCTGCGTATAGGACAGGGCCAACTCATCAAGAGTCGGGAATGTGAAAGCCACATGCTCCAAGCCCGCCGATCCCAGGACCTTTGGCGTTGTAGATGGAGCAGCGAGAATCGCGATGCGATGATGCTCATCATCGTACGTGATGAAGGAGACGAAGTCGTTTTCATGGGTTGCGTGGCCGCCCAAGAATGTCTTGTAGAAGGAGACCATGGGAGCGAACTGCTGGGTGCGCAGCACCACGTGTGCCAGCTTCGAAGGGCTTGTGACTTTCGACATGGTGAGAACAGGTTCCTGGGACGATATCGACAGAGGAGTCGCGAATTCGTTCGTGCTTGCGTCTGCAACAGGGAGCGGATTCGTTGCTGATTTATGGGGGAATAGCCCGAGAAGCTCAAATTGCGGAAACTGACCGCTTTTGGCTGCTTGTGAGCTCGCGCTCGCACATGTGCCACCACCGAGCTCGGGGCTCGGCACTGTTTTCAGTATTGATGTACGTCTTGAGGTTCCACCCCGGATTTCGGGCGCATCCAATGAGCAACTTCGTGGCCCCGCGACGTCATGGGTCCCGTGATCAGACCAGAGCTCAACTTTGCTAACAGAATCAGGACGAAGAACAGAACACTAACTCCATACAAGTTGAAGGTACGATATAAAATATACATAGCAACGAAAAAGGCGGATGCTGTTTCATGCACCATTCCGACGTGGCATTAAACGCCATGATATCTCGACATTTACAAGCTATTCTAATGAACACCATTGGTGCCAGAATGGGAGTCAATCCTTCCCAGTTCTTCGCTCGATTTACCCAGCAACGTAGCGACCGCTCCTGCGACCTCTTTTTCGGCTTCTTTGCTAGGTTTCTGCCACCTTGCGGCAACGAAGTTGTCCGGCCGCACCAAGATGGCTCCTCCTTCCTTAATACCCTTCAATTTCTCCCATCTCTCTTCTCGGTCTCTGAACGTACCGTTACGATTGGAGCTGCTGATGACAGCCGTGGAGATCTTGATATTGTTCGATTTCGCGACCTTCTTTGCCGCCTCCAGCCACGCTGCTCCGCTTTCGTCGGTAATTATGAGGAAAGTCGAGTCTGAGGCAATCAAGTCATGTGTCGATATCACCTTCTTGCCATCATTCAGCCAAACGTGAGGAAGCCGATTACCGGGTCCAGTATTTGCAGTGTAGATCTGACCGAGCGGGTCAACTGGTGGTGCATCAACTCCGTCTGGAATGATTGCCCCGGAAGGATATCTGACTATATCACAACGAGTCAGTCTCGGAGAAAACAGATCTGGAGGTCTAACTTACAGCCAAGCTCCAGATCGTGAGCGCTGAACTCTACGACCTGCGAATCGATGATTCGTTGCACCTGTGCTCGGAAGGTTCGTCCCGACTCGGAGTCTTCCCAAAGAGCTTGGAATCGCAGCTTATTGGCTTCGGGCTGGCCTTTGATAAGACCAACAGCTGCGTTGATCACGACCGTGTTTGCGAAGGTGAAGAGCCCCCAGTCGCAGTTTCGTTTTCCTGCGTATCGCCGCTCCGTCTCGTACGTATCCAGCAAGCTCTTGTCGGCAAGCCCTTTCGTCACGGCGGTCAGTTTCCATGCGAGGTTCTAGAGGACCTATTAGCGATATGGACCGTATGATCAACGCAACAAAACTCACATTCGCATCTTCAATCGCCGTGTTCAACCCCAACCCAGTCGTAGGCGGATGACGATGGGCCGCATCCCCAGCGATAAACACCCGTCCTTTCTGAAACTTACTCGCCAGCACCCGCTCCAAATTCCAATGGCTAATCTTATGCACGTCCATCTTCAGATCCGGAAGCTTGAGCAGCTCCCGAATCCGCGGCACGATCGCCTCCTCCTCATGTCGCTTCTCGTCGTCCATACTGAACCCAAAATGGACAGACCACTGCTCCGAATGCCTGCCCCACGTCGGGCCCATAGGCACCATAGCGCCGCTCTCCAGCACGGTCCCACCGGATCCATTGATGAAGTGGCACGCGAAGTAGCGGTCATCCCAGTACTCCGACAAGTCGGCGCTGAAATGGGTCGAGACCATATCCGCAATCCCGGATGGTCCCTCGAGCACCGCGCCAATCTTCTCATTAACCAACTTCCCACCATCCGCGCCGACGAGGAACTGGGCCCGGTACTGGGTCTGCTGTCCATTGGCTTCCACAGTCACAAGCACGGAGTCGCCCTCGTCGACGAAGTCAACAACGTTGTGGCTGAAGCGCACGTTTCCCGGGTTGCGCGATTCCGCGATCTTCTTGAGTAGAGGCTCTAGGCGAATTTGAGGCAGGTTGCAAGAGCGGAGGGGGGCATCACGTCTGCGCCGATTAGCGTTTCCGTTAAATTCAACACGCCCAGCTCCAAGATTCAAGTGGAAACGTACCTATAGCTCTCCGCCTTCGCTGACCCATCGTCCCCCCCAAAACTGGTAAACTTGTGGATCACCTTCCGATCCAGCGGACCGTCCCCTCCCAAACTGGACTGCCACGCCACCTGGCTCATGTTCCACAGCGGGGAGCCCTTCTCCAAGATCTCGGACTCCATGTGGTGTTGGCGCAGGACCTCCATAGAGCGCTGGTTCAGATAGTGCGCTTTCGGAAGACGGGAAGTAGCATCGTGGCGCTCGAAGAGCAGATGCTCGACATGATAGTCAGAGAGAAGAGAGGAGAGCGTCAGGCCGCAGCCGCCCCCGCCGATGATGATCACAGGGACTTCTTGGATCTTGGACATCTTGAAGGAAGAGGCGAGATGATCTTGCTAGAACTACAGCGTCGACTTCGAGAGAAAAGGAGTAGTTGGATAGAATATCGTAGGAGATGCGGGACTTAGATAAAGTATCTCGCCTGAGGAAACGCGTCGCGCGTGGAAGTTCTGCTCCGAGCTACCGAAAGCGCTCACATGAGGCACCTGGTGGTCAGCGAAGCTAAGTTACCCCGGGCGCCCCCACACCCCTCTGGAAAATGCCCCGGATCTGCAGGGGAGGTGCAGGGGTGGGTCCGGGTGTGGGCGTCCGAGTGAGATCATCCCCGCATTTCGGAATCATTTCGGTTTGGGGGCTCCGATACCGTAATTTGTATATTACACTGGTGGTTCTGGAAGATCCGGGTGGTTTTGGAAGATCCGGGCGGGCTGCAAGCTACCAAGATGCGAAGATGATGGTTGCGGTAGTGGCATTTGAAGGCTATCGTTGGCCAGACACATGCATATCAATAAGTTCTTGGAACTTGATGTATAGATACGATTAACGTCAGTCCGGGTATATAGGGACACGAGCAATCATCGCTATCGAATCGCAAAATAACGACTTCATACCACTCCATCAAGTCAATAGATCCAGGTTCCAGGTTCCGGGCCAAGGCGAGGTGCCATTGAAGCCAAAATTATGCTCTAGTTGCATCCCCGATTCCAAGTTCATATCAAAGCCAGCCTCGCCTTCGGCATCTGGCACACCATTGCCGATGCTGATGTTGGCCCAATCGGGACAGTCTATCCAGCTGCTTCCGGGTGTAGCATCCGTAGCACTCTGGGGAAGCCTCAGGATTGAGTCTGTCGTGGCAGTGTTTGCAGACAGAATGTCTGATTGCGGAGAGACAGAAGAGATGCCCTGGCTTCGAGAGGTGCCGGGCCTGTGGTCAAGGCCTGTTTCCTCGTTAGCGAATGAGCATTCGAAAAGTAAGGGCTTGAAGCATACCTTTCTCTCTCCTCGCTTTCTTAATAGCCTTTCTCGCCAATCGCGAGAGCTCCGCAGTCTTCGTAAACGCCATTCCCCCAGAGGTGCAGAATTCCAGCTTCCCGAAGAACCCAGTCACGACTTCCATGAGTGCGATATCAGTGTTGGCGGTTGGAGCTAACGGGTCTGTGACTACGTTGGTAAAGAGTGTGATTATGCCGCTGAGGGGGTAGTATATTAGAAGCCTACGAAAGATGGATCAGTGCACTGCTTATATGGAGGAAGACATCTCATAACCTACCAGCTAGGATTGTACGCATGGACTTCGAGATTGCTGGTAAGGAGGCAAATTGACCTCGAAGCCTCCAAGCACTTCCTCCCCTTCTCCACCATTTTCTCGGTAGCACTATCGTCTGGCGAGTTTTGAGACTTTGAGTGCCAAAAAGTCTGCGCAGGGAACCGCCGATGGATGGCGCAGATCGCGTAGTGATAAAAGTACTCCAAAGCTAAGGCCTGCAAGTGTGGTACAGTACCGCTTGAATCCAGCTGCCCCTTCGTCGAGTTCTCCAAGCGAGCATGTTCTGGAATATCATCATGCCACCTTTGCAGCTTCGCTTCCAGCTCCTCCGCCGTCTCCAAAAGTTCAGACAGCGGCATTATGAGCGCCTTTGCGGAGTACATCAAACTCGTGATTTGTGAGCATATGCGAGCGTAGCGAGCGGCGAAGAGGTAAAAACTGAACGACGCGCTCGAGATCCCCAATGTACGCGGCAGTGGACAGCTGACCTCGCCGTCGTCAATAGCTGATGGCCGCCCCATACGGAGCGAAATCGTCTTATCCATCCAGTAGAGCACCCAGAAAACCCGACTTCTTTCTTCGCTCTCCGCGGGAGTGATATCCCATTGCGGACTAGCCCTTTTATGCATCCCCATTCCTTGAGAGAGTCGAACAGCCATCGAGCAGAACTTGTATTCGCATTGAGGGGTCGTGGAGTGCTGAGCGTAGAGCGTCATGGCGGCGAACGCTTTGACGGTTGTCAGAGTAGTTCGGCGACTTATCAACTCTGATTGGACCACGAGAGCGTTGTGGAAGTATTTCATTGCTTCTGACTCTGCCTCCGCGAAACGGGCGGGCCGATCGCTAGGATTTTGCTTGGAGCCGACGACGCGGCAGCCGAGGGCGAGGACAGTAGTGTAAAGGGCGTACCAGGGGACACTATTTAGGAAGGAATTGCTTGAGTGTGCGTAAGACTGAACCTGTCGCATAAAGTCCTCGCGGTCCAGTAGCGGGAACCAGCTCTGGTCAGCGTCGAAATATGCCTTGACGTATTCCCTGGCTATTGCGGGGTTCGGAAGAGGGTTCAGTTGACTCTTCATGGAGTTTAGTATCCTCATGCCTTCGTCTTCGGCTGTCGGCATCGCGAAATGCGACGTTATCTCTTCAGCGAATTCGCGAAGCGTGGCAACGCTTTCTTCATCCTCAGTCTTTTCAAGAATCCAGCGCAGACCGTTGTTTGAAAGGAGGGAGATGCCGGATGAGGGGCCGGTGAACTCGAAGCCTGACGTCTCGTGGCGGAGGAGGATTGAGTTGTCTTCATTGCCTTCGTCTACGTCGGGGTTCCAGAGAATGGTGTCTATGAGGCTTGTTTGATTGTTTTGGATAATGTGCGGTATGGCGTGTAAGGTAGCTCTTGGAGGGTCGTTCGCGAGATCCAGATTTGGGAGATCCGATAACGGCATAGTTCTGACATCTTGAGATAGGGTTGACTCGCTGGACGAGAATGAGGACTCAGATCCAGAGAGGCGCCTGAACTCTAGGAACGCCGTGGAGTTCTCGTCGTTCGACCTTTGGAGAGTTGGATGGCTATCGGAAGGTGGACGGCCGCCATGTTGTTCATTGATACGTGCCCACCCAAAGCGCATTCGTTTCCGCGGAGTCTCGGCTGTATTCGCACGTTGTCTCTTTCCCGGCGCAGTCGTGCACGGCAGGTTATGGTTCTGACGGGTGTTTAATTGACTGATCGAATAAGAGGCAAGCCATTACGCACCCTACAGTAGTCACATGTAGTTGTATGCGTTACATTGCCTGGACGCAAGATTAGTCCAGGCTATCTCGTCAACAGGGTCTCGAGGGCTCAGACTTTGAGCCTCAAAGGCACATTTGACCTTCTTAGCGCGGCAGTTGTCACAGGCCATCTAGATATAGATAGATGAGGTCGCACAAAGTGAGGTTGAGGGTTGAGAGCGGGTACGCGGGAATGATGCAGAAACACGGCCCTTTCCCCGCTTTTTCCCCACGGGGTAACTCCAATACCATAGCTGTTCTAGCGGCTTTTTATGACCTCGGTTATTGTTTATTATCCTGCGAGAGGCAAGGCTTGATTTATTCATCATGTCCAACGTCAAAAAGATTCAAGAGATGTTTTTTCTTCTCCATCAGCACTTTCTGCTAAGTACCTGATTAATCCTAGGGATGCCGGGGGTCTATATCTTTAGTAGAGCCATGACGCAACATCGATACACAAACCGCTGCATCCGAGATCCATATCGACTTTCTCTCTGTCATGTATCGATGTTCGGTCTCGGAAGCTCGGATTCTACAGAGAGCCAGCTTACTTTACCTCGTATCGGACGGATGAAATCCTACTCTAATGGGTTAGCGCTTGTATCGGACCGCCTAATATAGAGGTATTCAGTCAGTCTCAATTGCTATGTCACAAAAATGGTATCGGTCGACTGCATCGAAAACCGAATGGTACCTCATTACACAGGAGACACATTCTGTTCGCCTGAAAGGGTCCGCGGAGTGGTCTAGTCAAGCCGTTTGAGGCGATCCGGATGGTCAAATCCTGCCCAAGCGTCCATTTCGAGTCTTTCCCCGGATTCGTAGCTCGTATCTTGACTCTGAGAATCCGGGGAAGTACTGCGCTTGATGCCATGCCCGAGTCTCCAGGCCACATGTTCTCCGAATCTAGAGAAGCAATACATCGATTAGGTGTCAGCGGAGGAGCCGGCTGATCTTTTCCTCTGAAGCTTCTCCGAATCTTCAGGCTCTTATATTTATCTTCTCCCAGGTAATGCCTTGTGCATATATACGGGATTAAATCTTGATATTGATTGAATCGGGTCTCCCACTCGTATTTGGTATTCCAATTCTTCTCATCATGTCTAACGATCTTCTCCACAAGGTCGAGACGGCAATTCCTCCTAGAGTGTTGACAGGAGCGTCTCTTGTGCTTGAACGAGCTACCGAGCATGTGATCATTCAGGGAGTTGTTCTGGGCCTGGTACAGTTCACTCGCTCAATCTAACTCACAGCTTTGATAACTGACATAATATGGCAGTTCTCCCACACTGTCTTCAGGAATTTTGAACCCTCTGCTCTTGGCTTTATCTTCTGGGTTTTTGCGCTCGCGGCTGGGGAGTTCACTTTGTTCAACCGAGACCACCTTGACGATTTCAGATGGTCCAACATCGCAGTTCTTCCAGTTGTCCTTGTCATGAGCGTCTACTTTGCCACCCTCGGGTAAGCAATCATCGAAACTGTTTGAAACGACATAAACTTACCGCAACAGTATATCGATAGCGTTCTACAGGCTTTTCCTCAACCCCCTCCGACGCTTCCCTGGCGACACACTTCCAGCACTTACAAAATGGCAATCCTTCTGGGTAGCTAAATACGGCCAGACTCACCACTTTCTCTTTGCCCAGCACCAGAAGTACGGCGACTACGTGCGCGTTGGCCCCAACGAGCTTTCCGTAACCAACGTTGATGATCTACCTATCATACACGGCAATAGGTAAACAACTTGCTTTTAAAAGGATTGCTTAAAAAACTTACTTATACTCGTTCCTAGATCTAAATTTAATAAAGGCCCGTGGTACTGGAAGAACCTCAACGAGCCAGAGCCAGGGCTATTCTCCGTCCAGGACTGGGACGAGCATAAGGCCCGCCGAAAAGCATGGGACACTGCTTTCGGTGTAAAGTCGTTGAAGGCGTATGAACCACGAATTGCGACGGCGCTTGATCACCTTTGTGCCAGGTTAGATCAATTTGCAAAGACGGGGGAGTATTTTGATATGAGCTTGTGGGCTGAGCTGCTTGCATTTGATGTTATGGGGGACCTCGGATTTGTGGGTCTCTTCAGCCCCCAGCGCTCCTTCCTCATACATTACATATTCTAACTTCTTTTTGCTTAGGGCGATTCGTTCCATATGCTCGAATCAGGAGAGCTCCACCACTATGTGGAATTCGTCCATATAGGACTCAAGTTTATGTGCACTCTTGCACCCATATCGTGGGCCATGCCGCTCCTCAGCTTCGTTCCTGTCGACAAGAAGACCAGGGAGGTCACGGCTCGATTCTTCGCCTATGGCGCAGATAGGTTCAAGTCCAGGCTAGCAAAGGGACCGATCAAGAACGATGTGTTCGGCTTCTTACTCGCAGCTCGAGAAGAAGGCGGGCTCACTGATGCGAAACTCGAGTCTGATGCTCGCAATGTACTTCTGGGAGGTGGTGATACTACCGCAGTTCTAATGACGTGAGTGCACCTCCACTCCGTGATACTCAATTATTGACGTTTGTTTTAGTTCTCTCCTTTTCTATCTCACCCGCCATCCCGCCGCCAAAGCCAAGCTCCAAGCCGAAGTCAACACTCTCTTCAAAGACGAACCCTTCGACGCTGCCAAACTGGGCGGGCCGCCCTACCTCAACGCCTGCATCAACGAAGCCCTCCGCATGATTCCACCGGGCCCCAACGGCATGCAGCGCGTAGTCAACACCCCCGGCGGCATTACCTTAAATGGCAGGTACGTCCCCGAGGGCACGAAGATCAGCGTCCACGGCTGGAGCGTGATGCACGACCCGCGGAACTTCGCAAGGCCAGAAGAATTCATTCCAGAGCGGTGGATTGAGGGATCGGGGTTCAAGGGGGCGCATAATGCGGCTGCGTTTATCCCGTTTTCACAGGGGACGTATCAGTGTGTTGGGAGGCGGTTGGCGTTGCAGGAGTCGAGGATGTTTTTGGTCAGGTGAGTCAGACCCTGGATTGTTTTGACGCTGATGGGAAGACTTGCTAACTTTGATTGTTTGTTCAGGATGTTCCAGAATTACGATTTCCAGATTGATCCGAATCTTGATCCGAAGGCTTATGTGGCTGCGACGGAGAGTTATTTGACTATCACAAAGTCGGCGCTGCCACTTACTGTCACTAAACTTACGAAGACATGAAGAGGGGTTTTGGGAGAGGGTTCAGTGAAGGACATTCCTGAAGTGTGAGAGAAAGATATAAATTGATTCTCATACTATCAATAGAGTTCAGTCACGTGGTGATCACATTATAGGAACGTAACGGTCTAAGTCAAATCGCCGCGATATAAGATGCTATCCTGTCGGTATAAACAAATCCGAATTATTTTCTTCCTGGGAGCACCACTCCCGTTCCTATAGTTTACTCCGATCTCATTTATCAACTCTCATCCTCCCCACTCACCCCCTCAAGCCCCTTAGGCACCTCCACCCCCATCGCCCTCACAAAATTCCGACAACTCTCCTCAAACCCCCCCTTCACACCTCCCGTCCCTTGCCTCACTTCTTCCTCCCCTCTCCGCACATCCATCTCCATAAACGCACTATACGTCGCATCCCACTCCAGCCCCATCACTGCCTCCCAAATTCCCACCACCGCCGCCGCATCCAGCGGAATCCGGTTCGGGATACTCCAAAAGAACGTGTACGAAATCACCCCAGGCAGGCTTCCCCGGCTCCGGGTTCGAGGCGCTGGGCACCGTCACGACGGTGTCCGCGATGAAAAGTGAAGAATAAGCGTCCCAGTGCAAGCATAAGCTACCGGGGAAATGCCCGCCGTAGAGGACGGCGGTGATTCCCGGGAGGATGGGGGTCAGGTGGGCGGTTATGGGGCGGAGGGTTAGGCCTGGGTGGAGGTGCGCTCGAGCCAGGGGAAGTCGGCGGCGCCGGTGTAGATCGGGCAGTGGAAGGTGAGGGTCCAGTCGGCGTAGGCGGTGTAGTAGTGCGGGTGGGAGATTACGATTACGGCGATGCCGCCTAGGGAGTTGATTTGGGGCTCCAGTTTCGTTAGCAGAGTATGATCAATTGTGATCGTTGAGGTTGGTGATTACCTTGTCCACGGTCTCTTGGTCGAGGAGGGTGATTAGGTCCCAGAGGACGTTGCCGTTGGGGGTTTGGAGGAGCATGGTGCGTTCGCCGATTGAGAACTGTGAGGTTGGTGAGTTGTTCTGTTTCATATCTTGGGTGCAGAGGATGATGGTCGGTTACCTGGGGCTCTGTGAAGATCTTTCAGAGCTTCGGGTTGACTTCGTCTTTTTTGAAGGTGTTTCTGTGGCCTGCTTCACGGATCTTGGAGAGGGTGGTGAAGGCTTGACCGGTAGGGGAGACGAATTGTCGTGGATCCTGAAGATATTTGAGTTCCTTGATTTCTGTATAGGCGAGGAAAAGCAGCGGCTAACATCGCAGTCCCGACACACCTTCTTATTCGACGAACCTGTGACGTCGAATTGGGTGCCGCAAGCGGTGCAGATCAAGAGGTCATTGGAGGTCTTGAGGATTGCCTTTGGCGCCATTATTATTGATAAGAAGATCTATACTTCAAATTCGAAACTGACGAGCGTAACGACAGCCTTACACTTATATCTCTCCGTCTCACTGCCTACACAATACCTCCACAGTGGGTAGTTATGTAAGCCGATCACCGATTACCAAAGCGCGGAATTGGGACGTTGAATGAGAAAGCAACGCTTGATAAAGTCAAACTACAAACAAGCCTACTCCGCAATACGACGAGCACCAATGAATGGGTGGACTACGGAAGTTTCTCGGCTAGACCTGACATATCTAGTATGGCTGCAAAGCTAAAGGGAAAGCTAGGTACTGGCGTCAAAACGGACGTCACTTCATTACCGGCGTGGGGTGGGATGCGGAGAAGGAGACTACGGCACTCATACTACTCACCTCCAGCGACTACATGGGCAGATATGTCGGCTGTTCCCACTACACGTTGGAGAGTGATATTTCCAAACTACGATTCGGCATCTACTCTATCGCGATGTCACTTGAGTATTGAACTGTCTATCTACAATGCCTCGGCATAGAAATCCGTACACCTGCCTGCCACTGTCTATGGGGCTTCAACATACTAATAGAAGCGGATACACTTCCAATCTTGCGTACACCCTGTTGACGCTGTCTAGGGTAGCCTCATTGGTTTAGTAGTTGCCCAAAATGCTGAACTTCTCTCTAATTCGGAATGTGGAAAATAGTATGAAGCTCTTCATGCAGCAGCAAATTAGTGTATGGGTTTCTATACGGCGCATTGTACCACAATTTTCTTACTCCAATCTTTTCTCACCACTGAGGTTTATACCCCTGCTCTCAATCCAAGTCTTCAGCCTGCTGCAAAGCCAAGTCCATGTTGAGATGAACTCTTTCCACCACCATCCTCCCTCGGCCCTACCAAGTGTTCCCCGTCGTTGAATTACCATAGATAGGGTAAAAAAGCGAACACCTCCCATCCAAGGTAGTCGACTGGATCACAGTAAGATTTGTAAACGTGTTCCCCGAGTTCCCCAGCACACCAATATACGCGCTCCCGCTCGCCGTTCCGACCTTGGGCCACGCCGGGTCCGGCCCGCTCGTAGGATTTTTCGCGAATGTAGCCCAAGCAGTTTGCATGTAACTGCTGAGCGAGATCTCCTGAGCAGTGGCACCTGACGATGGGTATGTCCCGAAGACGATCGGGATCTCGGTCGTGTGGTAGACGCCGCGGTTCGTGAAGCCAGGAACGCTTCCGTAGTTAGCGAAAGAGGCGTTGAAGTAGTAGCGCCAGGCTGGTATGCCAGCTTTGGCGTCGTCGGAGGTTACGACTGCCGCCGGCTGTGAAAAATGTCAGACGTTGTTGTTAAGAAATGGGACGTCAACGTGGGAATAATGAACGAGAACCTACGCATTGATACACCGACTCCGTCCAGGCCTGTGCCGTCGCGGTATCATCATCTGGAAACGCCCCTGGGACCGGATAGGCGGCATCGATAGCATTTACGTTTGCACCAGGAGCTTTGCCGTAATATTGCTGCACGAAAGCGCCCAGCCCACCTGATACCGCATATGGGGCTGAGAAGAGTCGTCCCTCCTGCGCGTTTGTGCCTTGTAGAACTGGTACCTTGGCAATCGATCCTGCGAGTCGTGAGGCTTCGGGGCTTGCGAGCTCCGTGACACCATCTGGTATAGGATTGAAAGCGAAGAAAGGGGTCGACGGGGTAGTGGCGTTGTAGTCCTTTTCAATGGTGCTCTTAATGGCGGTGGCGGCTACTCCGCGCATGCAGGTAATGACCGGTGATGCACCCTCGCAGCCAGAGAGTTGGACGAGGGAGTCCCAATAAGTCGTACTGGTGTCGGCGCCGCCTGCTGTGACTGAGGAGGTGCCACTTTGCATGATGGCGGCGCGGAAGGGGGTGTTGCTACCCATGGTAGTCACCAAGCGGTCGACTGATGTTGCTCCGGAGCTGAAGCTATGGCTTAGACATGTATTGCAGAACGGAGGAGCTTGGGTTTGGATAGTGGGTATACCTTTCACCGAAGATCGTTACCTTAGTTGGATCGCCTCCAAAGGCCGCGATGTTCTTTTGGACCCCTTGGAGTTGATTGAGTAAGCCAACCACACTCTTACGTTTACGTGGCAGTGACTTACATTGTAGGGCCTGCCGTTGATCTAGGAAGCCAATATTCCATTTGGTTTTGTCGGTTATATCGCCGGAATGAGGGAAGCCAAAGACTAGAAAACGTATGATTAGAACGATTATTCCTTGTTAACAAGTATGCTTCTTACCATTGGTGCGATAGTTTGCGGCCACGACAATAACATCTTGATGGGCTGCAAAGCTCGATCCATCATACCATGGATACGAGGCAGTGCCATACACCAGTCCCCCGCCGTGAATCCAGAACATGACTGCCTTTCCTGTAGCTCCTGAGCTGGGAACGTAAACATTGAGGTAAAGACAGTCTTCGCTTTCTACCGGGGCAGGATTGTTGAAAAGCTGCATGGTTTGAGTGCGATTTGGCGGGTAAGGCGAATCTTGCTGTAGATTAGCCGTATGCTTTGGGGGCACACATAGCCCTGAATGGAGAGCGTGGCATACCTATGAACTGTTGGACGCATGAGTTGCTCCATGCATTTGCTTGTCTGGTCGTATAGGTGGGAACAGCTGCCGGCGGGGCCCAACGGAGGCTGCCCGTTGGAATAGCAGCAAAAGGCACGCCTAGGAACTTGTTTACAGATGCGGTAGCACTAGGCAGAGTAGTGGTCGTCCCAACAAGGACCCCGTCGGAAACCGTGACAGTTGGAAGAGCCAGAGCATGGCCAGGGAAAGCAGTGAGAGTGCACGTGGGAAGAAAGAGCGATTGGACCATCGACTTGACCTTCATAACGAATCGATATATGTCATAATTGAGGGTTTTTGAGGAAAGAAAGCAAAATGTCAAAAAAGAACGGAATCTGAATCGTACTTATTAGAAGAGTGCATGAATTCATTGACACTATATATATCCGCGTCTTCTACTTTTAAAGAATGATGTAGTAGTCGGATGAATAAACAGATCGTCGAATCCTTCTCGTATAAGTATCAGCCACCGGCCAGCCTGGCCTCGATCCCTTGCATATAGACATAAACCTAGACCTTGTACACTCCTCAAACCTCAATGAGTTCCTAAATTTAAGCCATAGGCATTTACCAATTTCGTGCCTGAAATCAGCGGTTGTCAAACAAATGGGGGCTAAAGGAACAGGAAAAAGTACACAAACGATAGGCATTCCCGGGGATTTAATTTGCGAACAGGAAAAATCATATTATGAGTACTGAGAAATCATGAAACACACTCCCCGCTAGTGCCACTGGGTGTCACTGACCTTTCGATCTTCCAATGGCAGTACGTGCCGCGTTCATACTATCGTAATAATGGGCAAGGGATCGGAAGAATAAGTGGAGCGATGACCATCCCCTGCACTCAAATTATATTTACTGCTATACAGCCTATCTCATTGGTCTAGAATCTCATTTCAACGAATCTTTGAACTAACATACAGTAGTACCCAGGGTCAGTGTGATGGATGGAGCATGCAAAGTGTAAGGGACGTATGCGTGCATTCGCGCGCGTACGCGCACGTCAGGATCGTTGTGTTGCGATTGCAAATAAGTTTTGTATTGAGTATCGTCTTGTCGAGCATAAGGCTCGACCCTAGTAATCTATATACGGTCCCGTCCACGTGCCTGCCTCTTAACGCTGACGTGTCCGTCACGGCCGTGACACAAAGCTTTCACCTTGTTTTCACGAGACACCAATAACAGTATTTACTGAGCAGTTTGATACATACAAAGAGAGTTGTGATTGGTGCCCTAAAATACGAGGTGAATGCCGAGCACGTTCCACCTACAACACTTGCCCCGGACACCATAGCACAGGTCATGAAACCATGTCGTGATCTTTTCCACCATGTCATCTGAAGCTTGTTTCTTTAGTCACTGTTTCTACTTGAAACATCAGAGAAGACACTCACGGCAATCTCATGGTATATTATTGGAAGCCCTCGCTCCTAGGCTAACCGTAACTATCTTTACTCTCTCCTTATCCCAGTATCAATGAAACTACCCAACTTCCCCACCTCTCCTCTTCAACTGCTCTACCATCCTCGTCCTCTCTTTTTGCTCCTCTTCCGACAAATATCCACCACTGACCCCATCTTGCAGCCTCCAAGCTTCCTGCAAATGCTCAAGAGCATTCTTCCACTGTCCCTGGCCCTGCGCAATCTCACTTCTAATTTGTAGAAGACCCGCTTTGTTGATAATATCATTACTCGCGTCGTTCAGCTCCATCACAAAGGCCTCATCCACAACTCTTTCTGCTTCTTTCCAGTCCTTCCTCTTGATCGCAGCACGGATATCCCTATATATCGGAATCATGTGCCCAAACGGCGCCGATAACGACAAAATCTCAACGGGAATGTCCTCCCACGATTTCTGGTTCTCCGGATACTCTTCACTGCCCTCGTCCGCCAATATGAGCCGCTGATAAGCCATTCTTTCCTTAAAGACTTCACTCTTCGCGCGCTCATTACTAGGAGGATTAAGCACAAGTCGGATACCGAATTCGCAGTGTTGAAAAGCGCGCTTCATCTTTTCCTTCTGCTCCGGCGGGATGCTTGCTGGCAGGTGCGCCCGGGCATCGTCAATGATCGACTGGGCGACTTTGATGAACTTAGCGGCTTCAGGGGAATGTAGACGGTGGAAGTGTCCCCCAAGGTTGGCAGCCAAGTTCATCGCAATACCTCGTAGAACAAAAATGGCCATTTCGGCCGTTTCTTCTTCCTCGGACCGTGGTTCTGGAGTGGGTTGGGTCCAAGACGTGAGTCCGCCGATCAGAGATTCGAGAGATGCCAAGAGATTGGATGGCTTCTCCTTCGCCTCAATCTTAAGGGTGTCTACTTCTTTGAGAATACGGGTAAGGGCAAGCTCCCAGAGAACGGCAACGATTCGGAGTCGTCCTGGGTCCTTGAGTACACCGCGCTGGATAACGCTGACAAGTCGAAACAGGCACATTAGTTGCAAGGAGTCGGATGTATCGCTCTGCAGTCCAATCAAGGTGGCAGCCGCGAAATTACCAAACTCTGTATGCAACTCTTCCCGAGGTTGTGTCCAGGTCGGGCTGTAGTAGATTTTGGACCAGGGCCACTGTTTCGTGCGATAGCAGTAGTAGTGGACGAACCCTTGCTTTATTGACTCAGCAATCCTCAGTGCGTTTTCCTCATAACCCGGTTGCGCCCTCATGAGTATGGGGATCAGTGGGTGTAGAGCCATGGAGCCCCTATCTTTCCTACCCTGATCCCCTTCGATCGTGGCCGTATTCGCTGGCAACTTCTCCAGAAATCCTGCTTCCTCCAACATTGACACGAACCTTGTGCAGCCGGACTCCAGTATCTCACTGACCATAGGTACTTCGGGAAAATCAATTTCCTCATAGGCAATAATGATACTTGCCAAGTCTGCTTTTGGTTTCGGCACCTCCTCTTCGCTGGAACTAGCCACAAGTCGCATCAATAGAACCATATTTTTCATATTCTCACTCATATCATCCATGTCCATTCCAGAGTTCTCCAACATCTCGAGTGTGGCCTTAGCCTTTTGTTGCGGAGTGTTGCCCATGAACTTTTGTGTAGCCATGCTCCACAGCTGGACATACTTCCCCAGGTCATTCACTGGTAATACCTGTTGAAAGCAAGCAAAGACGGCGGGTGTGAAACCATCCCCCAAGCGCTTCGGCATGAGCTCGTCCGCGATCTCATCGAGTTGCATAACGCTGCGCAAGCTCTCCGTTCGTCTCGCTTCCCACCGGTTCAGCATGACATGTTTGCCACTTAACATGTCGAAGTAGTACTCTTTAGGACTCTTCAGTAGACACAGCCCATCTTGAGCCAGGAGGCGAATCGCTAGTGGGTTTCCATAGGTCAGATTTACTATCTGTTCCAGATACTGGAAGTCTTCCTCGGACTTATAATCTCCGATATTCATCAGCTGCTGCGCACTAGTCAATATGCCGTAAACAACCTGCGTTCCAGGAACGGTGCGAAGGCCAGATAGGCGATGAGGGACTGTTGCTGCGCCGAGCCATTTCTCTGAGCGCCGGGAAGCGATCACCACAAGCGCTTGCGTTTTAGCAAGGGCTTTTATGAATTTGATGAAGACGCCGTACTTCCGAGCCATGTTTACTGCTTCGAGGCGATCGAGAATAATGACGCATCTGTGTTTATTCAGATGTGCAAAGAGCTTCGCTGGCACCACGGGAGACTTGATACCAGTAAAGTAGCCCTGTAAGCGAGAGTAAAGAGCATCCGCATCAAATGGGTCCGCGGGCAATTGGATATGTATGGCATCTTCCACAAGGCCCGTGACTGCCCACCAGCGGCGGAGATGCTTCAGCAGAGTCGTCTTACCAATTCCAGGGGGTCCGGTGAGGAGGACGGGTTTGCTTCCGATAAGCAGGGCTGATTCAAGGTGCATAATATCTGTTTCGCGCCCATACGGGAATAATCGTCGTAGGTCTTGTTCCTCTTCCAGACCTTCGAGCTCCGGGAGCGCCTCTGGGAATGGTCTATCGACTGAGGCATCTAGGTAAACGACTGGCACAATTGAGTCCACGACCTTGACCTCACTCCCTATCTTTGTGGTTCGATTCGAGTTGCGAACCATGGCTCGCCGTGCAAGAGATGCTGCCGCCTCTAGTGGCAATCTGTGTTCTGCTAGTCCTCGATAGAGCGCTTCAGTGAAGACTTCCACGCTTCGGTCTGCAATTGTGAAGCTCATGGCCACGACGGCAGGCACCCCGGCATGGACGAATGCACTCGCAATGTTCGTCTCTGGACTAGACCCATACGCAGATCGACACGCGTTCAGCACAACCTGGCCCACTGCTCGCTTTTGGAGCAACTCGCCCACTTCTGCGGCAGTGCGATAATCAGACCGCAGCTTGAGATACTCGGATCCGGCCTCGTGCTTGACAAACTTCAAGAACATAGTGCCACTTGCCGTGTCCTCCACGCCGTGCATATCGAAATGAAGAACGTTGAAGTAGCCTGGCTCTTGCGATTCAAGGTGCGTCTTAAGGGCTTCGAATGTACCTGGACGGACGACCTCCACGTTGATGGTGTTTTCATACCGCTTTGAGGCCTCTACGATGAGCCGGGATACGAGTCGTGGCGCAACATCATTGTCTTCACCGGAGCGGGCAGTCACAATGAGTACACGGAGGATACTCGTGTGTTTTGCTCTGGCAGTGGACGAGTTTGCCTCTTCGCGACCTTGTTTTCGGACAATGACTCGGATGATATTAACCGACGTAGGACGTTGCGAGGGGCGCCACAGTTCTAAGCGTTCCAATACTTCCCAGAACACAATTGCGGTTAATTCTTCCTGCGCCGGTTCCTCGACTCTGACTACGAGTGGCTCGTTTAATTTCGATGGGGGTAGGAAAGCGGCGAGGTTGAGTGAGGCTACAAGCTCCTTGCCGTAAGCTACGAGAGCGGAGAACGCTTTCGACGCACGCTCGCTATTGAATGGATCAAGCTCGGCGTAGTCCTCGAGGTACCAGCGAAACTCCTCTAAAGATGCTGTCGACAGTGTGGGGATTTCCCGCTCAATATGGCGGCCAAGTTCATGGTCCACGATCAGGCACGTTGTTGCAGAACTGTCATAGGAGATCGAAGTTGGATGTTTATGGCTTGATAGAAACGGAGTGATTGTAAGAACGCTCATTTTGCTCGTTATTCAACTCAATTCGCTGGTTTTGGATTTGCGTACTTGGTGCCCACCTTGCTGCCTCAGCCCTGGGCAGACGCCTGATATAAAAGACGTGGTAGCAATTTGCTGGGCATAACGTATGCGACAGAAACTGGATTCACATGGGCTATAGAGCGTGATAAATGGTCTAGATCCCGCTTACCACTTCCCAAAGAGTTCAAGGCTGCGCATTGTTGGCGAGGCTGAGCTGCGAGTTCAGCTCTGGCGATTCCGTGGTATCCGCAGTCTGCGGCTGAATATTGGTCTAGCCAAGGTTGCTGCGGCCCAGAACTTGCTTTTTCTACTACGTACCCCTCCTAGGCAGCAACGAAACGACGGAGCGAGGCGAGAAAGTCTTTAAAGTGTTCCAGGACTCCATCGCCTCTGGCAGCCGCGACTTCCATCATATCCAACGTCACGTGATCATACCCACAATCCACATCATGGCCGACACTCCATTTTTCTATCTCCTCGACCCAGAGCGCTTGATCCCCGCCTCTGACATCGCCCTCTGGCTTGGCCGAATTGTCAAACATTATGCAGAACCCGACGCCTCATACACACCTTCTGACCCCTCGCCATTTATCACAACCCCCGTCTCCGCAAACGCCCTCGTCAACACCAGCAGCATTCTCTCCGGCTCAAACAACGCATCCTTATCGGCTGCACTCTCCAAATCCGCCTCCGCCGCCGCGTCCAAGTCAAGCTCAGGCGGCACAGACTTCAAGACGCCAGAAATCCTAAGCGTACGGGTGCAAAAATACGACACGATTTTCGATTCAATGCGACAGAATGACGAAGTCAAAGCCGACTTAGGGCGAATGTTAACACCAGGAGGGAAACCAGCATTCATGATTGTTGCGGTGCTGATATGGACCGACGCAAGTTTCACTGACGTCCGATCTCTTGAGTCCTCTGTATCCGGCAGCGTGACGGCGCCCCTGACCGCAACTCTTGCGGCCACAACGGGTGTGGTTGTCCCTGGAATCAACCCTAAGCTGAAGGGCGAGAAGGGAAGCAGTACCTCGCGGAAGCTAGCTGGCTTGAGCCTTGGGAGCCATATCTTCGCGGTGCAGTACAAGGCCGTGCGGAGACCTGCATGGGCTATCGGGCGCAGCTTCACGCCGAGATTGGAGGATAAGGGTCCGCGGGTGGAGGGTGTGAAGAGATTCGCGGGCAAATTGGAGGAAGAAAGTAAGACGGAAGACGGGCCGGTGGAGGTAGAAATGGACGAAGATCTTGTAAGCTGGACGGATGTGTTAGACGAGGATGATGGCGAATTGGAGACTGAGGAGCTTGGGGAGTTAGCACTTGCTTTTACGGGGAGCTGAGACAATCTGTAGCATGGAATCTACCGCTCCCGCTACGCGGATTTCATCATTCATTGCTAGCTTCTACGCTAAGGGGTTCACATAACAAGTACATTTATTTTTGCGTCGCATCACATAATCTAACCGTTTGAGTACAACATAGAAAATGCGAAAGTTGGAGGAGGAAAGGTTTGTTCTATTGAGTGGTCGAGCTTTGGATGGATTAGCTACGCTAATCGTATCATCCATTTTCAAGTGGTTCTAGAAGATTGAAGAAGGAAACATTGGTTACTCTCAATCATGGGGCGTAGTCAAACATTCTCATGTAGTGTCGGAAGAAATTGAAACGACCATCGACTCAAGTTCTTGGAATGAGTTACTCGGTAGTCTCAACGTCGTCATCCGCGAAGCATTAGGTATCAGAAATCAGAATAGTAGTCCGACTCGCTAGGGTCATCGTCTAACTGCTCAGCGTACTGATATTGAAGATCTAGGAGTTCTGGCTCGACTCCTGGCGCGTAGGCAGCCGCAGCAGATCAGACCCGCATTCCAAGAACAGAGCACGATACCGATAAAAGCTAGTGGTAGCTTCCTCAACTGAGTTGGAGAAGGCATAGTATTTGCCTAGTCCATGCGCAATACGCTCTTCCGCGGTAATCAGGCTCCCGTCTGCTAGTTGAACCTGGGGGCTGCTCAACTCACGATCCAATCGGGCGAGGTAGTCCCTCCCATGATTTTTGATAATTCTTGATATTTCCTCGGTCCCGCACTGACTGTACAAAGGGCTCAAGATCTTCTGTGGAGGGGAAGAGGCTTTCTGCGGCAGGGTGTAGATGGAAGACATCGCGTAGGCAACGGTGGACGTCAGGGCTTGGAGCGTCGCTATGGAATGCGTCAAAGAATATTCGATCCTGAAATGTGTTGAAGGAACGCAGCAACATCCCACGGAGTACCCATAGGTCTACGTTGTCACATGCCTAGTAGCCCTCAAGCCTTAGGGTCGTGTCGAGGATGTCGTAATTCACATCCGGAAGGGGAGTCTAAGTAATTGCGGGATCAACTGGGGCGTCGGGCGTGAAGGCTTCCATGATGCTAAGTGTGTTGACTAGGATGCGAAAGTTGTGTTGCGGTTGATTTATTTTGGTGTCAGTTAGCAGGGAGATGTGTGTTGCGGTCAACTAGGTTGGAAGTCTGTATGTTGCTTAACTTGAGCAATGAGAGTGATGTGGAATTTAGAGTGGGTGAAAAGACTCTATTTAAGTACATAGTCCACGAATACATCGTTAATGAATAATGCAGAAGACGATGTCTACCATGTAAGTACAATACTTAGATATAGAAAGTCCATTGTTAGTAAACTTGACGATACATGGAAGGAAAATGTTACTCACAATGCGAATTGTACTGCTCCTCTTCCATAGTCTTCCAGCATGTCCCTTCACAACGACAACATTGTACCGAATCCAAAAATATAGAACCTCCCCACTCTGCGTTTGAATCTCTTCATCGGATCTTTGGAAACCAAACTTGCAACATACACTCTTCAAGTCACACTTCCCACAAATCAGATCTTCCAACAAATCTTTCAACCATCGTTTCTGAAAACAACTCTACACACAACAACTCCAGGAACATGCCACTCAATTACTTAGGCCCGGGCTCCGGAGCTCCTGCGTCTCGACGACGCGAGGTCCGCGAGTTCACGCCAGCCCGAACAAATTTACCAGGCGGGTCTTCTCGGCCTCAAAACGAGTCCCCAGCATCTAGACAGCAAGACGACCCCACTTGGGGCTTCGACGCACTATCACTAGAGCCTAGCCGCGGGGGCTCCTCGCGAGGCACGACTAAACGCCAATCTAGACACGATCGTTCCATGCGAGACGATGATGGTCGGCATCGAACGACCACGCACAGCTCTGCGCCACGGGGTCACACCCATACCACAACACGCAGCTCTGCGCCACGGGGTCATACCCATACTACGACCCGCAGCTTGCCCGACCTGGAAACAACAATTCGGAACCATCTCGTTCCCACCTACGTCAAGTCGGGAGAGACTTGCATAATATGCACCAACGAATTCGATATGGGAACGCACAAGGCGGTCACCGTCAACACTAACCGCCATTGCAAGCACGTATTCGGCCGCGAATGTATAATCATCTGGTTCCGAAGCCAGCGAGAGACCTCAAATCTCTGCCCTACAGGAAGGTGCACCCTTTTTTCCTTAGATCCAAACGCTGTCAAGCAAAGCCGAGCGAATTTGGACGGCATCGTGCCGGAGGAAGAATGGCTGCGACAAGAGCACGGCATTGAGGTGTCTAGGGCCCAGCTAGATCGACCGAGGTCGACTCCGGCGTGGGAGAAGCGGCTTGAGCACCAGCTTTGTGAAGAGCGCGCTATGTGGTATCGGGCTGTTGGCCGTATGAATGAGATCCCTGCGAAATGGCGACCTATCCCAGACGCGGCTAAAAAGCGTCGACTTCTCCAAGAAGGCAAGGATCTGATTCGCCACTTCAATGATCCTTCTGTCCTTGTCTTCAACTATGATGGCGACGAGATCATAGATCCAGAAGCTCCCGAACATCGTCATAGAGTTACTGATTCTACGCCCACCATATCAGGTGGTCCAGAATGGGATAGGCGGCTTGAGACCCAGCGCGGGCACGAACGTGCTTGCTTGCTACGACATCGAGGGCGCGAGTCTGAAGTCTCAGCGCAATGGCGAAGGCCACCACCATATGGCGAGATGTTGGCAGAAGGGAAAGCGCTTGTCGCCAAATTTGGCCAAAAGGCTCTCCAGTTTCGCTATGAAGATAAGATCCTCGTCCGCGAAGACGCTGGAGGAGAGAATGCAACATTGGGCGCTTCGTGGATCGATCGTTATAGAGCTCAGAAGAATGCGGAAAAGGACTGGTATAGGACAGAGCCGGATGCCGCCAAGAAACGATTCCTGCTTGCAGAAGGCAAGGAATTGGTCGAGATCTTTGGTGAAGAAGGATTCATCTTTGACTATAGTGGCGATTCGATCGTAGTCCCGGATTATCGTTCTTAGTTTCGCTAGCTTGGCTAGGACCGCTGGCCCTACCATTGCACTGGCAACAGAGCACGGTTATAGCCGCGGGACTTTGGCGTTTCCCTGCGAAGACTAAGCCCTAAAATAGGGCTAGGAATCGTACCGTCCTTCATTCTTTCCTAACCAATAGGAATGAGCCTTGATGGCTCGTTCCTTTCAATCATCTCTTCAAAATCTCCCATTTTCGCGGGTTAGCCTACTGCTCTGGCGCTGATATTCGGCGCCAGAAATTAGCAAATTCTCATAGGCTAGTTGATATCCTCCTTAAACCAATGAAAAACCTTTACCAAAACTTATTTCGCCTTGATCGTGATGCGACCGTGAAAGCAACTGTAGTTCGTAAGATAGTAATTGATGTGAGGACTTGACAGCTTCGTAGGTGGCGATATCGATTCCTGCATACGTTAGGAGGAGATCTTGCAACGATTCAAGACCTATAGCACCGCATCGTTCCGCTACTCAATGGCAGTACTCATTGTTGACTTACAATATACGTTTCCATTTCCCTTAAACTACTCTTCTTGAAGAATGCGTTCCAGATTGTTCACCATCTTCACAATACGCAACCCTCACAACCCCGTTGTTCCACCTGAACAACTCCCTCCAAAGACCCGCATCGCAACCATATAAAACCCTGCCTAAATTCACGTTAATAGTCTTTCTCGTCACCAATCTTCAGAAGTCCACTTACACCCACAATTGCAAAGCACTTCCCAACAGATCTCCGCTTCCCAAACCCAAACCCCACAATCCCAACCACAACCACAACCACACTCACAAACACGGTCATCTAACCATGCCTCTCAACTACCTCAATAGTTCAGCGGCCGATAGAGCAACGCGCTGCCACGACGTACGCAACTTCACGCCCGCCCGCCCAATCATCCCGGGCTCGCCGGCGCCTCGACCAGAGCGACGTGCTGCGCCTTCATCATCATCCTATTCCCAAGATACGAGGCGTGAAGCATCCCGCTCGCACCACCAGAGCTCCGAGTCCCAGAGCCGTTCCCGGCCGCATCACTCCAACTCCCAGAGCTTCTCGATGTTACGCCCGTCGACTCGGACACCACGATCCCAATCGCGATCACACCAGTCAGGCCATGACAGCCAGCGGGGTCGAACTACCTTCGATGACTCTCGCAGCGACCGATACCAACCTTCATCCAGTATTGGTAGGACCACTCGTGCTCCCACGACAAGCAGCTACGGCGTGACGACTCGCGCTCCCACGACGAACAGCTACAGTCTGACCACTCGCGCTCCCACGACACGCAGCTACGGCGTGACCACTCGCGCCCCTACGACACGCAGCTACGGCGTGGCCACTCGCTCTCCTACGACAAGCAGCTACGGCATGACCGCTCGCGCCCCCACGACATGCAGCTACGGCGTGATCACTCGCTCTCCCACGACAAGCAGCTACGGCGATGAAGGCTACCACGTGGAAATCGGATTGTCCGGGCTCACAGTGAGCTATAGCCACGATGAATATTACCCCACAGAGTCTAGGAGTCGGTTCGGCTCTGAGCGACGCTCTAGTTTCGGTTCTGGGTATGCCGGTAGCGAGCGAGGGTATCGTTCCAGGCGGCCCAGGCGATCTAGCTTCGATTACTGTGATTGTTCTGGCGATGAATCGGATTGATGAGTAGTAGATCCATCCCGGTGAGTGTCGAAGAGACGCTCCTCATGACTTTCCCAAAGTCTTGATTTCAGACGATAGCTCGGAATAGTACATCCGCAGTTTGACAGATATCTTGGCTGCTGTTGATTAATGGTCCAGCAGCTTTCCTTAACACACATTTCCTTAGCAGGTGAACTGCTGGGGTCCTCACAATACAAAACCTTTCCCCAAATTTCTTTGACCCAAATTGACGTGACGATGTAAAAGTGACTAACGTGAGCTATGTTTACAAATGAAAATGAAAATGGGAGCGAAAAGAAGGGAGTATACTAAAGAAGTCATGGGATCATCGGGTATCGTATTGACTAAAGAAGAGACTATGGACAAAAGGAGTGAATTTCGCGTAGAAGTACCACGGATAAAGGATCTACAAACTTGAGCATGATTAGGTGATCCAGCAACAAACCATTGCGGCAAATCAACCAAAGTTCTGGCGAAAATCCAAGTAATTGCAAAACGCACGAATCAAGAGCTCGACGGCATTTTGCACTGATGTTCCATTCCCAAATAACATACAAAAACAAACCTCCATATCTTCCTAAGTATCACTGCCGTGGACAATGCGTTTGACTGCTTCAAAGACGACTTCGCGGCCAGGTAGTCATGCGAGGGACATCACGGGGATCGGGAGTGTAGTAGGGCTTCTGATCGCGACGGACCTGTTGGCATCGAATTAGCGTATTGGTCATTGTGAGAACAGAATTGGTCCATCCTTACCTCTCTCTCCTCAATCCACTCTTCCTGGCCACCGCCATTTCTTCGGACCTCTGCTCTGTACTGGAACTCGGGGCGCCCACCCTCGCGTCTGAGCTCCCTCTCATAGCGGAAGTCCTGTGGAGGTCCGAAGTCCTGTGGAGGAGGACCGAAGTTCTGTGGAGGGCCTCCACGTCTAATGTCCGCCTGGTATTGGAAGTCTTGCGGCGGACCCTGCGGACCCTCCCTTCTGACCTCTGCTTGATAGCGAATCTCCCTCGGCGGCCCCTGATGCCTCCTCTCGAATTGAAGATCCTTGTGCCCACCCCTCTTCTTGTCAAACTCCACATCAATCTCCCTCGTCACCGTCCTCTGCTGCTGCTGCTGCTGTTGTTGTTGCTGCTGCTTCCCCTTCTTCTCCGCCACACAGCACGCCAACGGCTCCATAGCCGCCAAGAACCCCAACACCTGCGTCAAGCTATTATGGCACGCCACGAGCTCCAAGTTATGGTTGACCAGCCTCTCCTTCGTATCCAGCACCCACTTCATGCGATGCCTGAGCCCCACATGATGGCCGCCCTCGGTATCCGCCGCGACGGGCTCGACGAGCGGCATCATGCGCTCCAGCGCGCCCCGCGTGCTCTTCATGACGGAGTTGATCCAGGCGACCTTCTCGGGCGCGGTGGAGAGGGCGTATTCGACCTCCTCGAGCTGGACAAGGCGGCGCGTCTCCCCGAGGTCTTCGTTCACGCGGCGGACCAGGCGCATGAAGACCTCGTTCTCGCGGCCGACTTCGTGGAGCTTCTTGGCTCGGACCAGAAATTCGGAAAGCTTGTAGGTGCCCGCTATGGCGGAGATGGCGGTGCCGGCGCCGATGGCGGCGAAGAGCCCTTTGCCTTTCGCCATAGTGGTGGATCTTTGAGGGGGCTGGGGGTGGTGTTCTGGGCGGAAGAGCTCCTAAGAAAGTCGCGACGCGCGATTGATCGGAGTGCAATTGGTCCTCCTCGAGGTGGAAGCCGGGTCGAGGGGAGAGAGCGCCGCGGTTGATGGGATGGATGTGCTGGAGTGCGGGAGAGCATCAACCAGGGGTGTTTTGTGATGGAGTCGAGGTCGCAGTGTTGTCAGCTAGCCACAACACACGGATCCAGCCATCCACGTGACCCCCCAGCCACCGAACTTGCCGAGGTCAACACCACACTTCTATCCCAATGTCCTCAATCACGAGCTGTGAGAGGCCATCTGAACCCAAGGAGCTGTGAATCTAGAACGAAACTACGGGCACACGTGGAATCACCTCGTCACTCTTATTATTACCCTCTATCTCCTATTGCTACCTAGAACGGAACACGATTCCGTCCTACAATCCTGTCAGCATGCCTACTCTGGTCGCCTATCATTGTAATCACATGAAAGAGCTTGGCTGGAGTATAAAATCTCACGTATGAGATCCGTCTTTGGTTTCCGAACAGAAAAGAGAATCAAGTGGGGTATCAAGAATGGGGTCTGCGGTTTCACTATGGCCTTGCGCCCTGAAGCTTCAAAATCATTCCCCGAACTCGTCTATAGGATCTTCCGGGTCAAACCAAGTCCAGACGCACCCTTCATGGCAATCTTTTCCAAGAGGGAGGTTGAAATTGCGCTCGGAAGCATGCGATGGAGCCTTTGGTGGAATATCGGATATCACATTGGCAGTGGTGATGTTCAGCGCCACGAAATCATTAAGCCGTCGAAATCATCCAGATATTCTAATCATACCGAAGACATGAAGTAGGGATACGTCGTCTTCTTGTGGAAGAGCTAATGAAAATTGTAGCTTTCTATCTATTGTGTCCATCTTAAGCTAATGATTCTAGCTGTCATCATCGTTTCTCCTACATTTGTCTCCAATCTCCATGCTGCACCTTCGTCCTCTATTTGCTTCGCCTTCCATGGCAGGTTCATCGAGCTACATTTTGCAAGCCACCGTCTCCAACGACCGCACCATGAGCGATCAGAATCTCCGGTTTTGATTTCGATAGTAGGAGCTCATGAGAAGCTAGGATTTCGCCGTCAGATGGATTTATAGGCCAAAGAAAGAGAGTCTCCACGAAGTCAACTGGATGGCACGTGACTAACATCGAGTTCTACTAACTAGGAATCGGCCGTGGTTGGTTGACCGAAAACTCTCACCTAAGGAGAATATTAAAAGGAGCCGATGTTGATTTAGAGGAACACAGGTCATTTCTGATCCTTCCGTAGGAAAGAAGAGCAATTTGCATGTGTGTTCTAAATCGTGGGCTAGTCACGAAAATCCCTATCATGAACCGCTCGCACAACTCCACACCCTGACATTCTTTACAAACCCTTAGAAGCCACTAACCCGATTGTCGGTTCTATTACTACCATTCCTAATTAAATCGCACGCTCCGCTTCCCCAACACGAAGCCCAAGATGATCTAGAGCTATGGGCCGAAATCTCACTGCCACCGGCGTTTCTTACACGTTCTTCCTCACCCTCAGCCCCACGCCCAGCATAAGTATCGGCCGCAAGACCCGCCCCGCAAAATCGGATGCCTGATGCCGCTTGCCCTTCCATAAAGTCTTCTTCTCCAACGCCATCAGATCCCTCGGCCAAAGGACCGCTGCAGCGGTGGTGTACATGCTCCCTCGAGCGACTTGCAGCCTTTCGCTACCCACTGAAGTGACGCGCTCAACGCGCATCGCAGGTCGCGTCGACCCCGACAGGGCCGAAGCATTCAGCATCATCAAAGCGCTCGAGATTGCACTAGAGCTCTCGTGAGCCAATGCCAAGAACCGCACCTGTGTCGTAGATGAATGGAGAAGGCGGGTGTAGCTGTGTCCTCAGGCTCGGCGCGAGCATATTACGTATTCGAACCTGTGTGGTGGAAGTGAGACGGTCATGAGGACGATGGTAAAAATGGTTGTGGCACTCACACTTACAGTTCAGGGGCTTGGTGTTTCTGTTGAGTTGAGATGAGTGTCTAGGCATTTTAGAGAAGTAAGTAATGCGAAGGCGGATAGAGCGACGAAAAGAACGATGATTAGGAGGTCCAATGAAGCTAAGGTCCTAATGAGAAATTATTTATCCAAGTGCTTTTGAAGAGAGCTGACACATTTTCGCGGCGATCTTTGAAGATGAAAGAGCTAGTGAAATTGGTCAAACGCTCTACCGTACAACTAAAGGTTGCGTTTGGAGCCGACTGCAGCCACCATACCTATAGACAACGTAATGCGCTTCTTGTATACGCACCGTATCCCCCAATCCCTTCAAATTATGAGAGGAATGTCCACAATAGCCGTGGTTCCTCGCATGGAAGTATAGCATAGCACTTGTGGAAATTACTGCTAATTGATCTGAATGCACCCGTCCCTTTCCACCCATAATCCGCTCATTCCGCTTTCCGACATTTTCGTGAAGAAATCGTGGCGACTTTTATTGTAGTATTCGATAGAACTAGTCGAAGTGTAGCCTAAAGTCCCTTTCTCCTCTGAGACCGTATAATCCGCTCCTCTCTTGTCCTCCAAATCGCCTGCTGGGTCCTGGTACTTTTCGCGTAAGAAGGTATTGCCGCCAGTTTTGTTGCGCGTGTCAGGGAGGGCCGCTCGGAGCGAAGCTTGAAGGTGTCTCTCCCTCTGAGACCGGTAGAAGTACTCCTCTTTAGTGAGCATAACATCAGTAGTGTCTCTATCGCCGACGAGGCGAAGATCCTGGATCCAGAGTTGCTTGAGAGTAGCCGAGAACTTTAAAACGAAACCCACGAGAGACTCGCTCGTGGTAGGTATCATGTCAAACTCCAGCACCCGCAGAAAAGACCATGAAACGTCTTGAATTAATGCGAGGAAGTCAACCTTAACTTCACCCCAAAAACTTCCGCGTAGTGGAAATTGGGGATGGCCCCGAGAGACTTCGCCGAAGGAAAGGTACAGATGCTCAAGACTGGTCGCTTGTAGTAGAAAGTGAGCGAGACACCCTGCAATCTTGGCCTCATTGGTCCGACCTTCGTCAGCTTTGAAATCTAGGTGTACTTGTGCCACAAGAGTGCGAAGATTCGTGAACGCCCCGACCATGGTGTTGAGAATGCCATCTCTCGCTCGCTCAGATAGCTGTGGGCCACATTGCAAATCCCCCCCGTCAAGATGTCTCTGATCCCAAAAGTTTTGGCCCATTGTCGAAAACCCCAAGGATGTGACGCGGTTTCGAGCTGTTGTTGAGCTGATGGCGGTCAAGATACAGCTCAGTTGAGAGACGGCATCGAACCAGTAGTCGTGATTTTGAGCGTCAGTGCCGTCCCTTGGAATGATTCCACCGTCTGGCTGATCTTCCCTCCAATGCATGGGGGCATAAAGGGTTTGTTGGTGAAGAGTGTGCGCGTAGGAGTGATCAGACCAGTAATATGATTCCTCGCCGTCGTGTATTCCAGCAACAACAACCGCTTCAAGGTTCGGGAATCTACCAATCGCCTCCGTGAACATGTCGAGGATACGACCCATGATGCTGTACGGCTTATGACCATCTTTTCTGTCATGGGCGGCTCGCATGCATTTATTGAACTGATGCCACTGCAACCGGAGTTCCTCGTACCGTTCGTAGTATCGACGGAGGTCCAAACTGGAGTACCCATTTCCTAGATGCCATCCTATTGGAAAGTCATGTCAGTATTGCGAAAGCGATGCCATACTTGGTACGAATGCGACCAACTAACTCTTACATCCCTCCACTTCACAGGTTCTTAGCCCGAATTGACACAGGTAATCCTTATCTATCTCCCATCCAGAGTCTACTAACTCCCACCCCCAGCGTTTCTTTTCCCAGTCTTCCTGATTATCAAAAGCCCTTGCAACGGCCCCGCGAAATACAATTTTCCTTACAAGAGCGCATAAGTGGTTCGTATTTGCAATGTTCATGAACGTCATGAGGCTCTCTTCAAATAGGAAGAAGTGGACTTCTGAAAAGAGCGGACCCGTGATAATGGCATTTTTATCGAAGTGTTTGGACGTCAGGCGCAGAGACTTAAGGCTTTGGTGATCGAGTCGTCCACAGATGTTGAGGAGAACTTCATTCGGCAGCTTCAAGAGGAAATCCTTTTCAATTACGTGCTCTGATCGATGTTTTACGCTTCCATCTTGAATGAATGTAACAGCGTAGCGAGATGAAGATGGGTGGTTCTGGGATGGTGTGGTAATGCTGACAGATATTTGGAAGTTGATATTCGGTAGCTCCAGCGTGCAAGCCATTGTAATTGCGTGCTCTTGTTGTCGTTCTGCCCTTCTTCCAACGAGCAAAGCGATGACCAGACAACGAGTATAGGCAAGGTTCAGATGTAATGGAGTGTATGTAGTTGAAAGGAAGCAAGAACGAGGTTGAAGTAAAGTGCATGGCCCAAGCACCAACCGCGACATCACATGGCCCTTAACGGCATGCCCACGCGCAAGGACATATTCTCTTATCATATGCTCCAAACTGTTGAGCAGTCTCAATCGATACAATTCAGAGTATAATAGCACAATTTAACTATCCATAATCATGCCAAGGGGTCCCACTGTTCCCGAACTAGAAACATCAATTCGAACTTCGGCCACGTCCTTCCCACGATACTGTCCTCTTAGATAGCTCCTGACTCCATTTTTCATTCTGACAACTCTATTCTAGTATCGCTGTTGTGCATTCCGTAATGTGTATTTCAGGGAAGCAAGCGCTTCTTAGAGGTCGTAATTCACTATTAGGGGGAAGTTGCGTTCTGAAACCATTATGTCCCTCGGCATTTGACCGAAAAAGGAGCAGTATGGTCACCAATGCGTCTTGTTATCTCAAACACTCGTAGCCATTCATGTCGCATTCGTCCAAGTCGCGATTTCCTCCAGTTCCAGCTAGCGGAGACGTTCTTCGATAATTTAGAGCTATAGCACAGGACCTCAATCAATTTCCGGATGTATTGCCACCATCTCAAACACTCAGGTTGAAATTGATGTGAACTCTGATTTCTATGGGTGTCTAGCTCG